ACCAAATTGTCCGAAACTTTGACACATAACTCGTGATATAAATGTTTCATAAATATTTAAAATCAAACATCAAATCAAATATAAAATCAGAAACATTTCGTTTCATTTTAATGTACGTGTCTTTTAAATGTTATTTCCCGAATACATTATAAATGTTTCATAAATATTTAAAATCAAGATCACACGTTTTGCTACCATAATGAAATAGCTAAACGAAAATATTGCCAAAATTGTTCGTGTTGTCTAATATCAAATGAAGTGTCCGATAATAATTGTAAAGTGAAAAATGTACTTTTATTATATGTTCACAAATTAAAAAATATAATTTCGACACATGTTTCTAAATGATTAAAACTAAACATGTCATTGAGATTTTCAACCAACATTTTAGATATCTTCAAATTAAATCTACAGCACATCTTAACAAAATCTGTCGCTTAAGATATTTGGCGAAGATTATGAAACAATATTTAGTGAATATTATATGCTATCAGGGGTGGGATAGATGCCTAAATCGAGACCTTTCTTATTTTTCTTCTATTATAACAACTATTGATACTGGGCAAATCATTGTAGAATGTGACGAAGATAAAGTATGACGGTATGATATGAATATGGAATATTATGGAAACAAAAACAAAAAACGACTTTAGAAGCATACGTTGAAAACAAATTCATCTATCGGTACTTTACGTTATATATAATCGGAAATGGACAATTGTATGTAAATTTAATTGCCTGGGGAAACTTACAGAACATGTGTAATTATTTTATTCACGATATTCATACTATCAATAAGCAAAAAGCGCTTTGCTCGTAAAAATTTAATGAATGTGTAATGTATTGCATAATGAGGACGTTTGAAAAAAATGTATTGATTGAATAAGAAAAGTAGGTAAAAGAATCAGAGATGAGCGGGGAGATGTTTCCCGCTATTATTTGAAAGGGAGGCAAGGCCACCTGGCGCCCTCTACACCCTTTATACTTCTGTAAAAATTGGAACTACTTTCAAAGGGGAGAAATCTTCGCGATCGGTAAAACAGGGTACACGTGGGTGCCGCGTCGTAATCTCAATCTTTGAAAGCACCCTAGTAGCATAGAATAATTTCTAAATATTTCTTTGTCATCTTTGCTAAATATCTCAAGCGACAGATTTTTTAAGATGTAGATTTTATTANTCTAAAGTAAACGTTTTGCAAATATTTCAAATGTCTGGTAAATATTTACAAAATGTACGATATTCGTTAAATATATAGAAAATGTAGAAGAAATATTTTTTTATTTTTTGCTATATATTGCTATTGCTAATATTTTGCTACTACACTGCGTAAAACATCTCCCTGCTCATCTCTGGTAAAATGTACTTCGTATCATAATTTTCATAACATCTGCGCTATTTCGGTTGTTTTGCAAATGTCCCTAGGAAGTAAAAAGGGTGACGTCAGAGATAAGTAATAAACTTTTATTCTCTTTGAGGCTCTCCATCGCGGTTGAAAAACAATAATTTGCGCGCCCATCACAGGCGCGATAAACATTTCTGTGGCTTGTGCTAAAAAAAAATACACTTGTGAAAAGTCCTTTGTTTAGAAATGTACAGTTAATGAAATTCATGAATTGACATATGACAGGGGTGAGGTAGGACGCGAGGCTCTACAGTGGTAATGGAACTTATCCATTTGCTGTACGTACACGTTAAAGAAAAATTGTGTTTCTAGATAGATTCTAATATGTTAACATCTGTACGTTTTACTTACATAAACGATACGTAAAATCAA